CCCCACAGGACACGGCCTGTGCCCCCCTGCTGCTCCCCTCACCCGCCCTCTCATCTCCCCCCGCTCCCCTCCACTCCCCGGCTGCAGGCCAGGGCCCTGTGGGGCGGCCCCATGGAGCACTGTGGGAAGGATGGCTGGAGAGCACTGTGAGCAGAGCCGAGTTGCACGGGCTCAGGCCCTTCCCTATGGTGCTCCTGAGCCCCCCCGGGGGGGGCTGGGACCTGCCTCTGCCCCAGGCCTCCCCGTGCAGCCCCTGCCAGGCAAGCTGGGAGCCGGGCTGAGGGCCCCCCTCGGCACCCCACCCTCAGGGACCTCTGAGAGCGAAGCAGGGGCGGCTCGAGCCTCCACAGCCCCCGGGCTTGGCAGAGTCTAGACCCTCCGCGTCAGCACACGGCTCGCCAGCCCTCATCTGCACGAGTGCCCGGACAGGCGTGTGCCTGGGCGTGCCAGGACGCATGTGCGCTGGGCTGGGCGCACCCGGACATACGTGCACCAGGACGTGTCCACCTGCATCCTGCACACCCGGATCGTGCCTGCCTGGGCGTGTGCACACGTGGGCTGTGTGTGCTCCTGGACTGTGAGCCCCGAGAGAGAGCGCGCCTGGGCCCTGTGTGCCTGGCAGGTGCACGCCTGGCTCATCCACACCTGGACATCCACACGCCTGGCCTCTCTCCTGGACCGTGTGCGCCTGTGTCTCGACACCTGGCTTGGGACACCTGCCCGTGCACACACACAGCCTTGCCCCTGGCCTTGGCACAGCTGCCGTGTGTGCCTCCGCATCTGTCTGCAGGGCTGCCCGCAGGCGGCCTCCTCTCGGGACCCGGCCCCGGCCTCTGCCCTGCTCCTCCCGGGGGAGCGACTCTGAGTCCGGCAGGTCCGACGCTCCGCGGCCACCGCCCGGGTCTGGTTCCAGAACGTTCCCTCACCCCGAGTGCCCCTCCCTTCGCCCGCCGTGACGTCACCCGTCCCCCTCCGCGTGGCCACGGCCCTGCCTGTGCCCGGGCTGGGATCGGCCCCGGCTGGTCTGCCTGCCCCACCGTGCCGCGCGGTGCAGCCCAGCCCCCCCCCCCCCCCCCCCGTGTGGCCTCTGAGGGTTTTGTGGCTGCGGGGCCTACACCACTGCGGTTGGGTCTTGTGCCCCCCGTCCCGGGGTCTGCATGGCCGGGGGGGCGCACACTCCTGCCAGGCCTCGGCCGGCTCCCAGCAGGCCCACGTGGACGGCCATGTGCATGGGCTAGACATGGTGCCCACGGCAGGCCATGACGCATGCAGGACAGGTGCCGCACACGGGCTGCACGTGAGCCACATGGGACTGCACGTGAGGAACATGAGCGGCATGTAATGGACAAGGGACTGCACGTAATAGACACGGGACTGCATGTGATGGACACAGGCTGTACGTAAGGAACACGAGACTGCATATGGAGACAGACTGCATGTGATGGACACGGGACTGCATGTGATAGACACGGGACTGCATGTGATGGACATGGGACTGCATGTGATGGACATGGGACTGCATGTGATGGACACGGGACTGCATATGAGGAACACGAGACTGCATGTGGAGACAGACTACATGTGATGGACACGGGACTGCATGTGATGGACACGGGACTGCATGTGATGGACATGGGACTGCATGTGATGGACACGGGACTGCATATGAGGAACACGAGACTGCATGTGGAGACAGACTACATGTGATGGACACGGGACTGCATGTGATGGACACGGGACTGCATGTGATGGACATGGGACTGCATGTGATGGATACGGGACTGCATATGAGGAACACGAGACTGCATGTGGACATGGACTACATGTGATGGACATGGACTACATGTGATGGACAGGGACTGCATGTGATGGATATGGGACTGCATGTGAGGAATATGAATTGCACATGAGGGACACAGGCTGCATATGATGGACACAGGACTGCATGTGGACACGGACTACATGAGATGGACACAGGATGGCACATGATGGACATGGGACTGTACATGATGGACAGGGACTGCATGTGATGGACTTGGGCCTCACACACCCACAGGAGAGCTGAGGGTGGCAGCAGACCCCGGGCAGGTGGTGTGGCCAGGGCATCTGTGCTCACGTCGGGGGCCTGGGACGCCCCATTGGCCGTGGGAGGGTCGGCAGGTGCCGTCGGGCTGCTGCTTCCCAGGGAGGCTGCGGTCACAGGGGGCCGTGCTGGGTGTGGCCGTCAGCAGCCAGCCGCTCCCGAGGGGTCCTGTGAGACCACCGCTGTGGGTGGTCTTGGTGCCCTTGGGCTGAGCGGACAGGACAGCCTGGGCACCTTCATCGCACTCGGGACAGGGCGGCCACATGTGCCCCGAGGGAGAGAAGTGCCCTCGTGTGTGGGGGAGGGTGAGCTGTTTGTCCATCAGCCGTGTCTGCGGGGGTGGAGCGGGGGGCAGCAGGCTCAGGCAGTGCCCTCAGCGTGGACGCACCCACAGTGCCCTCCCCGTCCTGGGCTCCGGGTGTGCAGGGGCCGTTGGTAGGATCTGTCTGGGCAGGGCGCAGGCAGCTGAGAATCGGGTGGCAGTGCCGCCTGGGCTCGGCCTGCCTGGGAGGACGCAGCCCTGGCAGGGGCCCGGGGTGGCAGTGGACGTGGCACTGGCGCCAGGCCATGGTTCTGATCCCAGCTGGAAGGGTCAACCCCCGGCCACCTCCAGATGAGACTGGACCTTAGCTCTGAGCACCCTGAGGCAACAAGGGTCTTCTGCCCAGAGGCTGTGGGTGGGACGAGCCGTGGGCAGGGCAGGCGGTGGACAGGACAGGGTGTCGCTCCGGGTGCCCGAGGCTCGGACCCCATGTTCCTGCAGCCGGTAAGTGTCTGGAAGGTGCAGGTGGCCCCTGCCATGGAGGCGCCGTGCTGCGGGCGGGAGGGACCGCGGCCATCACTGACCAGCCTGAGCCGGGAGCAGCGGTCAGTCAGCCATGAAGGTTGGGGGCCTTGAACTCATCAGCGGTTTGTATCAAACAGGCGACTTCCCTTTAGAAGAGAGATAACGTATAAGTGAAAGCAGCCGGAGTTGATTTCACCGACAAGGCTGAGCAGGGCACGACTAGTGCCGCCCGGGGAGCGTGAGTCAGGCGAGTGGCGGCGTTTCACACCTCAGCCTGCGGAGAGCTGAGAGCCCGGCGGCCTCGGTGCCCTCGGAGAATCACGGCCCGGCACTCGGCAGAGCAGCCGGGGAGCAGCAAGAGGCTGTCGGTCCTGGCTGTTGGGTCCCCCGCCCTGGGCCATGGGGAGCAGCAGCGCCCGCCCTGTGTCAGTGAGGGGCCCGGAGGTGTCTGTCCTGCAGCCCTGCACCTGCGGGACGGACGGACACGCCATGATTCAGACGGGCGGGAGACACTCGATCCGGGAAGGTTCCCTTTAAATCGGGCCCTGGTGAGGCCACTGCCTGGCCCACGGAGGGGCATCAGCTTGTATCAGTTCGGCTCATGTCAGCCCGTCCCAGTGCATGCCAGTACCTTTCGGCAGAGTTGTCCGATGTCTCTTACAACATGACCGGGCGGGGTGTGCAGTTCATCTGGAGGCATATGTGTGCTGTGGAGAAGCCGGGCCCGTGCCGGTCTGAGCCACGGTGGGCCGGGGAAGGGCTCGGGTGCCTTCGTCTCACTGTCTCCTTCGTCCCCATTTTCTTTGCTGTCCCCCCCACATGGCCGGTGTGGCTATGTGGCCTTCCCATCCCTGCTGGACCCCCAGGGACAGGGTATGTGGGGAACTGGCCAATCCTGGGGTGCTGGGGTCAGGGTCCCCCTGATAAAGGTGGGCTGTTGCAGGCAGTGCCTGTCCGGACTGGGCTTCTGCCCCTGAACGAGATGGTGACTCTCGTGGACACACACACCGGGTGTGGTACCTGCCTGCCTGTCCTCTTGTGCCGGAACGGTGAGACCACCGTGCGGGCTCCTCCCTGCCGCCCCGGCAGCCCCAGATGACCCTCCTGGCTTGTTGGCTTCAGTGCGGTGGGTGGGGTCAGCCGCTGAGGAAGGCCTGTCCTGTCCTGCCCTGCCAGCAGGTTGCCGGGTGCCTGGCATGGTGCTGGCCCCTTGAGGCCCTCGCCTGAGGCCCAGAGCACGGGAGGGAAGCGCCACTGACCCCAGTGCCGTCAGGAGGAGAGGGGGGTGGCGTGTCCTGGTTGGAGAAGGGAGCGTGTTGTCCCCATGTGGGCCACCAGTAGCCGCCACCCCAGTCTGTGCCCTCCGTGGGGACAGGGAGACCAAGGCATGTCCCAGGAGGTGAGGACAGCCGACTCAGGGCCGCCTGCTGACCGGGGTGCTCAGGGATGCTCGCTCCTGTCCCAGCTCCTTCCCTCTGGAATTCTCTGGAATCCTCCAGAATTCTCTGCAATCCTCTGGAGTCCGTTGGAATCCCCGGGGAATTTCCAGGCTAGCCTTGGAATCCCCTGCAATCCCACTCCCACAGAAATGCTCGTCACGACTGGCGAGTGAGGAACGAGGCCATGGCATGTGACGGGTCCAGCCTGAGCCCCCGCGTGAGGGTCCTGGCAGTGCCAGTGGGGGCGGGTGGTGGGCTGCTGCCCCTCCCGTCTCCTGACCTGCCCGCTGACCTCTGCTGCCCAGGAAGACGATCTAAGCTCTTTGTTGTTGAACTGATTTTAAAAAAAACGGCTTTTTGTTATTTGGAGGCCTGTGTGCCCTACTCAGGCCCGCACACTCCCGGGACCTCTAGGACCCCCGGGCACCGGAACAGACAAAGGACACGCTCGGGCCGGACCACGACCACTCAGGTGGCCGCACACGCTGCCCAGGCCTCACTGCCCCAGCCCTGTCCCGAGGGCCAGTGGCCAGCAACTGGCTGTGAGCTGGGGGCCAGGGGCTGAGGGGCCCCAGGGAGGGTCCTGCCAGGTGGCCACACGCCATCCCCTCAGCCCCTCGCCATGTCCAGCCACCCCGCCCCGCACCCGGCCTGCCGTCCTGGCTGGGCTGACAGCTGCGTCCTCCCACAGAGAGAAGCCGAGAGCGTGGCCGGGGCCCGGGGCCTCCCGCCCTGGTGCTGCATGCGGAGCCGAGGGGCCCGGCCGGGGGCCAAGGAGAGAAGGTGGGTGGGGCCGGGGGCAGGAGGGGTCTCGGGGTCGCGGCTGCCGGCACTGGCCCGGCTCTGACTTGGGGCAGAGGCCGCATCAGGCAGGGGGAGGGAGAGAGACGGAAGAGGGGAAGGAGAAGGAGGGGGAGGGAAAGGTGGGGAGGGGAAGAGGAAGAGGATGGAACAGGGGCGGGGAGGGAAGGGGAGGGGGAGGAGGAAGAAGAGGAGGAAGAGGAGGGCTTCCTTCTGGACCCCAGTTCCCTTCCGGGCTGAGGCCGCCCTTCGAGAGACCGCGGGGACAGGCTGAGTCACGCCTGGTCTTGTCCGGGGTGACACGTGGCCTCTGCCTGGCTTCGGGTGGCCTTGGGGCTGCCCCAAATCAGCCGCCTTCCTGGGGCCTGTCCCGGCCCACACGGCTGTGCAGATGGAGGGTGGACAGACTGGTCACCTCCCTGGGCTTCTTGGCACTCTGACCGGCTCAGGGTCACCTGGTCCCATGGCCTCTGGCCTGGCCCCGCTGACCTCTGACCTGGCCCTGTGGCCTCTGACCTGGCCCTGCTGACCTCTGACCTGGCCTCGTGGACTCTGACCTGGCCCCGCTGACCTCCAACCTGTCCCCACTGACCTCCGACCTGGCCCCGCTGACCTCCGACCTGGCCCCGCTGACTGCTAACCTGGCCCCGTGGCCTCTGGCCTGGCCCCGCTGATCTCTGACCTGGCCCCGCTGGCCTGAGCTGCCCGGGGCCTCCGTGTGGGTCCCCGAGCTGCGTCCCCGCCTGGCCTGGCACCGTCCTCAGCAGTCTCCCGTCTCTGTTGGAAGGAGCCTTCGTCCATCCTCGTCGCCCGGGAGGACAGTGTGGCCAGAGGCAGCCGGCCCGTGGCCTCCACGCCGGTGCCCGGGTCCCCCTGGTAAGAGCCGGCTGGAGCAGGGAGCCGAGGGGTGGCCTCGGGCTCCGGGAGCTGCCAGGGGACTTGGAGGCCCCCGGCTGTGCGTCCAGCACCCAGGCAGGAGGGGGTGGACGCCAGGGGTAGCAGAAGGAGGAGGGGCGGGTCTCCCGCCGGCCGGGACTGAGGGTCTCTCCCCGCAGGTGCGTGGTGTGGACGGGTGACGACCGCGTCTTCTTCTTCAACCCCACCATGCAGCTGTCGGTCTGGGAGAAGCCCGGGGACCTGCAGCACCGCGGCGACCTCAACCGCATCCTGGAGGACCCGCCCCACAAGCGCAAGCTGGAGGCGACAGCAAGTAACCGGGCGGGAGGGCGGGCGGGCGGGCGGCTACGGGGGTGGGGCTGGCGCTCCCCGTCCCCCGCGCCCCTCCTGGCCACGCCACTCACCCGCTGAGAGCTCCAGGGCGCAGCCCGCCCCTCTGCCCAGCTCTCCCGAGGGCTCCAAGCTGGGCAGGCAAGCCCTGCCCTCTCTGCCCAGCCGTGCTGCTGGGCTGTCCCGCATCCTCCCCTGTGTGTCGCCTGGGCCAGGGGCTGCAGCTCTGTGGCAGGACGAGGGCCCGGGCTCCCCTCCCAGCTCTGCCGGGGCAAGTCCTTCCTGCGCTGACTCAGGCCACACAGGGGTCCCGACTCAGGGCCTGGGGGTGGGCAGGGAGGGACCCGCAGACAGCCGGGTGGCATGGGCAGTCACATGTTCATGGCGTCCAGGCTCCCAGGGTCCACTCAGGCCCCGAGGCAGCTGATCTGGCTCCAAGCCTTGGGGGACCACCGCCCGCGGGTGCCTCTGGCGGGGCAACAGGGATGATGGAGCAGCCACGCCTTCCCCTGGCCAAGAGGGGTGCGTGCCACGTGGGGGGCAGCCCGGGGGCGCAGCGGCCCAACCCCGCACCTGCTTGTCTCGTAGCCGACAGCGAAGCCGACTCTGCTGACGCGGGGGACGCCGCGAGCATGAGGACCAAGAGGAACCGGTAGGTGGGGCGGGGGTCAGAGGTCAGGGTTCATGCGGGGGGTCCCTGGGGCCATGTGTGAGTAGGCCGGTGCCTACTGGGTGCCCCCACCGGGACCCCTTCTGTTTCCTGCCCCCAAGGGGCTCCCTAGAGATCAGATCTCGGCGCAGGGGCAGCTGCGTGGACGCGGAGGCTGGACGGTGAGTGGCCGGGACGGCCTCGGGACAGGCAGTGAGGGCCCCCCCCCCCCCGTGTCCTCCTGGCTGTGGAACACGTGTGTGCAGGCGTGGAACAGGTGCGCGCGTGCATGCATGTGCATGCGTAGAGCCCACATCAGCTCTGCGCGTGACTCACAAGACAAGACGTGGAGCCAGGAAGATGTGGTCATCATGGGGCTCCGGCCACTCTCAGACGGGCTTTGCACTCCGCAGGGAACAGTCTGGCCGGGGTGGCCATAGCTGGCTGCAGTGCCCGTCTGGCCTAGGGTCACCCTCATTGCCTCATCATTGTACCTCCGGGACGTGGACTTGTCCTTGCAGGGCTCTGGGCAGCAGTGGGCGTGGGCCAGGCCCCTGGGCTGCAGGAGCTCCTGGTGTGCTCAGGTTTCCCCCCGCCCTGGGCTCCTGCAGTCTGGCTGGGCAGCGCGTCCATGTGGCTCAGTTGTGCCCTGGACCGTGTGCTGTGTCCCGTCCGTGTTGCGCCCCTTGCGTGGGGCCCAGCCCTGGGAGTGAGCACGGCTCGCCAAGTTCACCTGTTACCTGACGGGTCGTCCCAGCCCAGGGGGCCAGGAGTCGCAGGAACTCAATGTTGATCCCCGCAGAACCCGGGCTCGTGGCCACTGGTCCTGATGACAAACGTCCAGCTCCGTGGGAAGGCAGGACAGAACCCCCCACCGATTGGTCACACGGGCCGTCCCCCACCGAGGGTGGCTGGAAGCGGCGGGCGGGTGTCCTTGTCCTGCCGCCACCCGTGACCCACTGCCACGGCCTCGCCCAGGAGCCAGAGCGAGGGAGGCAGCCTCATGCCAGGCTCAGGATTGAGATGCAGCTGAGGTGGGAGCACGCGGGCAGCAGCGGGTGCTGCCTCTCCCAGTGCTGCCGAGGGCGACGCCTGTACGGGTGGGTCTGCCCGGCGCTGCCTCCCCCCTGGCCGCTCGTCACATCTGGTGTCCACATGGGACGCGGGGACGGTACCCGGTGGGGGTATGAGGGGTCGGGCACCTGCGGGCGTCAGTTCAGGGTCTTGGGCGGGCTGCTCGCTCCTGTCCCCTGGGCTTGGGGCAGCTGGGGCGGCTCCCTCCCGGTGGGCCCGGTGGGAGCGGGGCTCGTCAAGGGGTGACCGACGCGGCCACGGCACCGTGTGTGGGGGGGGCACCCACAGTCCCCCCGCTGCCGCACTCTGGGAGGCACAGGCCTGGCTCTCTGGAAGGGGCCGGGGCCGGCACGGGGTCCTGCCCACCGCTGGGCGGGCCGTGGCCTCAGCCCCGGCAGCGCAGCCCAGCCCAGGCCGCCTCACGTTCCCTCCGAGCGGCTGTTCCCACGCTTCTATTTTTAACGAATGACACAAAGAAATCCTAATTAGACCCTTTGGAATAGGGAACAATTGCGAGGCGCTGGTAATTGTCTTTTTTCAGAGTTCTCATAATCCCCTCAGCAGCCGCGGGTGAGCCCCGGGAATCGACGGGGGAAGGGTGGGGGCGAGCCCCACGCAGGCGCCGGGAGGGTTCGAGGGGCCTTGGGGAGCCCGAACCGAAGGTCAGCCCCATCTCGCCCGCCCGCACCGAGGAACGCTGGGGTGGGACGCCGTGAGGGGCGGGGCCTGCCGGGCCTGTGGCCATGGGGACTCCCATGGGGCGGGCTCCACGCCCCCTCGGACAGCCCAAGTGGAACCCGGTCGGGCAATGGCACGTGCTGGGTGTGCTCGGTAGGGGAGCAACTTCCGCCTGGGAGCCAGGGGCTTGAGCGCTGCTAGTGGGTATAGGGGGCAAGAGCTGTCCTGGTGCCCGGAGCTCTCCAGGGTGCCAGGAGCTGTCCGGGGTGCTGGGAGCTGTCCGGGTGCCAACAGCTGTCTGGGATTCTGGAACTATCCAGCGTGGAGGAGGAGGCATGCACTGTCCAGGGTTCTGGAGCTGTCCAGGCTGCTGTGAAGCGTCCCGTGAGCTGCCGCTGTCCTGGGGCCAGTCCTGCCGGGGGCCGGCTCATCTCCCTGCATCTCCTTCCCCGGCCCCCTGCTTCTCACTGCAGGCCCTGCTGCTCAGGGTTTGGGCCCGTGTGTCCACGTGTTTGGGGTCCTCTCTTGGTGGTCATGCGTGTCATGATCCCTTGGTGCGCTGCTGGCCCCTGGGAGCACTGAGTCACTGCAGGGGCAGGGCGAGTGTCCGCCCGAGGGCTGGAGCCCAGCCCGGCACCGGCTCCCAGGCCGAGGGGCTCGGCGGGGAGTCGGGCTCCAGGCCGGTGTGACTCCGTGTCTTGTGCCCAAAGGACAGACGGCAGAGCCAGCCCCAAGCCTGCAGACGTGGATGGCCCGGACGGGAGCAGCAGGACGCCACCCCAGATCCTCCTGCCGCTGGAGGAGCGGGCGGCCCACTTCCGAGACATGCTCCTGGAGAGAGGGGTGAGCACTAGTGCTCCTTACACAGTGCTCCTGGAGAGGGGCGCGCGTGAGTGCTCCTCCTACAGTGCTCCCAGGGAGGTGAACGCTAGTGCTCCTTCCACGGTATTCCCAGGGAGGGGTGAGCTCAGGGCTGTCTCCTGCAGGTTCCTGCTGGAGTGTAGTGGGTTTTGCTGCCCCTTGGGGGACGTGCCCCTGGGTCCTCTTGACACCCCCATTGTGGCCTTCGCTGCCTCTGGCTGCACTGGTGGAGAGGACAGCGCCGAGTGACTGGGCCCTCCCGTGCTTCCGAGTCCCCACCCTACTCTGGCTCCAGGTCTAATAGTCGCAGTGGGACACAGCCACGTGCGGAAGGGTGGCAGCCCCCGCACTGCACGTGGGCGGAGCAAGCCCGGGGCTCCCTGGGGAGGGTCTTGGGACACTCCCGGCCTGAGCCTCTCTGCTGTTGACCGTCACGGGCGGAGGCCGGGGTGCTTGTGAGGCCACTGGTCTCCCTGTCGCCTGAGGCCAGGGAGGCCACGCTCAGCTTAGCCACCAGCGTGCCAGCGCCATGTGTCTCCATGCCCACGAGACTGGCAGGCACAGGGCTCAGCTGGGTTAGCCTCGGGCCTCCGCGCAGCTGCTGCCCATGGGGACGGGGCGAGTGTGAAAGGGAGGCTGCCGGCCCCGAACACGGGTCCAAGCATGACCCGGCTGTGCGCAGAGGCTGGGGCACACCTGGGGGGCAGGAAGGCCACGTCAGCACCGGCTAGGTCAGCCTCGACAGGGTCAGCACTGACTCAGGCAGCCTGGCCCCGGCACTGCCCGCGGCGTGCTGGCTGGACACTGCCCACGCTGTGCCTGGCCCCCAGCACTGTGTGACAGGGTTGGCCTCTGTCTGCCTCTCAGCCGGGCCGTGCTAGTGACCCGTGACACACTTAGGGACAGTTACGGAGGGGTGCAGGGTGGCAGGAGACGGAGCGTTTGGGGGGCAGGTGGGCAGCCCAGGGCACATGTGGCCGAGCTCATGGCCGGGCAGAGCAGGGGTGGAGTGTGTCCTGGCAGATTGACCCCGAGTTTGGCTCTAAGCCCCCACTTAGAAGGGGCGGGTGTCCCTGAGTGCCGTGCAGGGGGGTCCCCGGTGCAGACACTCGTCACTCCTCTGAACACATGGCAGCCGGACACCAGGTGGCCCCAGGGGTCTGGGCCTGGGCCGGTCCCCCACCCCCTCAGCCCCCGTCCCTGTCTCCCTGCCGCCGGCCTCCCAGGGCCCACACGCTGCCCCGCCCCCCGCTAGGTGTCTGCTTTCTCCACCTGGGAAAAGGAGCTGCACAAAATCGTCTTTGACCCCCGCTACCTGCTCCTGAACTCGGAGGAGCGCCGGCAGGTAAGGGGGCAGGGGCGGGCGGGGATCAGCTGCCCTGCCGCTCCGTCCGGGTCAGCCTGGTGCAGGGGTGCGGCTGCAGCAGTGCGGGCAGGAGCCCGGGTAGCAGATGGGCGTGGAAGTCTCTAGAACACAGGACCCAGGAGGAGGAGGAGGAGGGAGGGGTGATCAAGTGCCCCGCCTGGCCATGGTGGTCCCGGGCAGCGAGTTCCCAGTCGAGACGGGTGACGGATGGACAGACGGACGCCCAGGGCAGGCGTGCCAAGAGCAGCCGAGGTGCGGAGACCCCTGGGGTCCGAGAGGTGCCCTGGGAGCTGGGGGCCACGGACCAGGCCTGCCCTGACCAGAGCAGGAGCTGGTGTGGGTCTGACCGCCTTGTAACCCCGACCCCCTCTGTCTCTGAGCAGGGGGCTGTGCTGCCCGCGGCCAGTCCTGCCCTCCCGCCCGCAGAGCTGTCTTCCCCGAGGTGTTTCCTGCTGTGATCGGGGCCAAGCAGGCCCTGTCCCTGTCCCCAAGTGCCCTCTCCTCAGCCTCAGGAACCACGGGGGGTCGGGGGGGCTTTGGATGCAAGTGAGGCCCATCCCCACCCTTCACTGAGACGTGGGCTGCTGGCCCAGGGCAGGACCTGAGGCACGGTCGCGGCTCTGGGGTCTCAGCACGGGCAGGCCGGGGGGCTTGAGGCAGCCCGGAGAGGGGCCCCGTGCGACCTCTGGGGCCAGGGTTCCTGAGGGGCCTCTCTGGACCTGCTGCCGCCATCAAGTGACCCACCTGCGTCCCCGCGGTCAGGAGCAGCTCAGGGAGGCTGGTTCTCCCCGGGGTCCGGCTCCTGATGCCCCCAGGGCTCGTGTGCTGCCTGGGGTCAGGGGCTCACAGCTGGGCTGGGCAGGGCAGGGTGACTTCTCCTGCCCTCATCCGTGTGTGGCCACACGTGGGCGTGTGTGCGTGTGTACGTGGGCATGGGGTGGGTCATGGGTGTGAGTGCGTGGGCATGTGGGCATGTGGGTGTGGGCATGCACGTGTTTGTGTGTGGGGGAGCACATGTGTGGACTGGTGGGCATGTATGCGTGGGCATGGGTGGATGTGGGTGCATGGGCGTGGGTGCGTGTGTGTGCATGTGTTCGTGAGTGTGTGTACATGGGCGTGGGGTGGACACATGGGTGTGGGTGCTTGTGCACGTGGGCCTGTGTGGTGGGCGTGTATGCGTGCGCATGGGTGGATGTGGGTGCGTGTGCGCGTGTGCATGTGTGTGGCCGACACGCAGCCGCCCGCCCTGCCTGCCTGTCCTAGAACTTCGAGCAGTTCGCCAAGACCAGGCTCAAGGAGGAGCACCGTGAGCGGCGGAGCAAGCTGCTGCTGGCCAGGGAGGGCTTCCGGCGGCTCCTGGAGGAGGCCAAGGTGACGCCCAGGTACGCGGGCGGGCGCCGCCCCCAGCGCCCCACGGGTGCCCCGGGCCAGGCCTCGAGCCCCTGCTGGTGCCATGACGGATTCCGGCCCATTCTGTGATTCCCCGGAGCAGAAACCCGAGGGGAGACGGACCGAGGGCACGGGGGGGGGGGGGGGGGGGGGGGCTGAGTCCCTGACGCCCCGGCACCTTGAGCCCAGCCAGGCGCCATTGGGCTCTGAACACGAACGTTTTTCTCGTAACAGTGACTGGCGGGGAGTGCGGCGGGGAGGGGAGGCGCCGCTGTGCACGCGTCTGGCCTGAGCTCTCCCTGAGCACTGCGGGGTGTGGCCCCCAAACAAAGGAAAGGATTGATTTGGGTGGACTTTCAGGTTGGGCTATTAGTTTCAGCTTTAAATATTTATGCCTTACTCTTTTAATGAGATGCATAAATATGGGGCTTTTAATGGATATGAATTGGTTTTTGCTTTCCCTGAAGATCCAGGTACCTCTGATCAATAATTAATCAATCTGCTTGGTCAGTCATTGGTTCTGAAGGCTCATAAAATGCTCTGAAGGGCAGAGAGGGTCTCCCAGGGAAGCGATCGGCCATGGCTGCTCCGTACAACCTTCTGACCTGGGCTGCGTGAGGGGAAACGGTCCCCAGCTGGTCTCCAGAGCGGATGCTCTCAGAGCTGGACACTGGACCCTGGCCTGTCCTGCAGGGTGCTGGGGGAGGGGGGGGAGGAGCACTGAGTGGGGGTCAAGGCTGAGTCAGGGTCAGGCTGAGTCGGGTCAGGGCTGAGTCAGGGGTCAGAGTTGGAGTCAGGGCTGAGTCAGGGTCAGGGTGAGAGCCACAGGAGACAGCGAGCTGTGACTGTGGCCTGAGCACGGGCATCCCATGAGGCGTGTGTGTGAATCTGCGTCTTGACTTCGAGCGGCCCTGCAGGGCCCGTCCTGTCCCGGGGGAGCACCTGCCTGCGAGGCTCGCACTTCCCCGGCAGGAGGAGACACCCTGCGCCGGAGGACGCCAGCGCGGCTGGGGCAGCTGCAGGGGCCGAGGCCGCGTGGACTGAGCTGCCCGTTGTGTGGGGTGGCAGGGACAGCGGGAAGGGCACAGTGTGTGTGGAGCGTGCCCTGTCTTGGGGGTCAGCGGGCACCTGGGGAGTAGGTGGGCAGGGAGGCCCCCCCCCATTGTAGACCCCGGCTGCCATCGGGTGGTCTCAGGGCCCGGGTTCTTTTCCAGGACCACGTTTAAGGAGTTCGCCGAGAAGTATGGCCGGGACCAGAGGTTCCGACTGGTCCAAAAGCGGAAGGACCAGGAGCACTTCTTCAACCAATTCATTCTCGCCCTGAAGAAACGGGACAAGGAGAACCGCCTGCGGCTCCGGAGAATGCGATGAGCCCGCGGGGGCCGCAGGGCGGGCCGGGGCTTGGGGGCAGTGGGCAGGGGGGCTCTCAGGGGCCGCAGGGCGGGCCAGGCTCGGGGGCAGCGGGCCGGGGCCCTCCCCGAGGATTCGTGTTTCATATTGAAGCTCTTTTGTACGACGTTTGAAGTCTGATGCGTTCCTGGTCGCCAGGGCCCGTGGGTCCTGTCCAAGCCGTGCGGGTCACGTGTGGCACGTGCCAGAGAGAAGCACACGCGTGCCGGGGGGCCCGAGCGGGGCGTCCTCGCCGCCCGGAGCCGCGTGTCCTGCGCCCTCCTCCGTCTGTGTCCCTCCTGGTCCGTCCGTGTCCTCGTGGTAGCAGTGGGCGGCCCTCACCCGCTCCATGGCCCGAGAAGGGCCCAAGGCCGAGGCCTCCCGCAGAGAAGAGTAATTTTGTACAAATCCATCATTCGACAGTTTCAGTTATTTTTACTGTATGCCCAGAGTTTGCATGAGATTTTTCTCATCATCTTTGTATAAAAAATTTTTAATTTTTTTTAAATTAAATATTTTAAACCAGCGTGTCTCGTGGTGAAACTTTACTGCCGGGGCCCCAGAACCTCGGCAGTGGTGGCCTGGCCAGTCATCGCTGGCCCCGTGGGCATTGCAGCCCGCCTGTCCACAGCCCCAGGCGCCTCTGTGCCCTCCAGCTCCCCAGAGGCCAGTGGCCACGTGATGGTCTCCTGTCCTCGGACGCTCTCTGGGAACTGTCCCCACTCGCGAATCTGGTGGGTGGCCACGTCTCAGCCCCTGGAGGCCACGGATCACACGGGCTGCAGCGTGGAGCTGACACGTGGGGGCACCCCTCCCCCGCCATGAGCCATGAGACACTGGGACTCAGTGTCGTGCGGACCCTGATTGGCCGCAAGGACAAACCACGTGGCTGGGAGGGGTAGGCAGGGGTGTGGCGTGTGGGGGTCGCCGTGGGGGGGGCGTCTCTGTTCTGCACACTAATCAGGAACGCAGCCTGCAGGCACACACACACACACACACACACACACGCGTCGCGTGTGCAGACCTGAAGCCACAGGACACACCGTGAGCTTTAACTGGGCCCCATCTGGGCCCACGCTCCCCTCAGCCCCCTGTGAAAGCCGACAACCCAGCTCCCGAGACCCCCACACTGAGACCCCCACAGTGCGTCACGCACCCTGAGCTACAGGCCCGGTCACACCACCATGGTCAGTGGCACTGACGCGGGTACTGCCCGCACAGGTGCTGGGGCCGTTGCTGGCAGCAGGGCGGCCCATGCATAGACCCCCTTGCCCCTCCCCTGGGGCTCCCTCCACACGTCCTGCTGGCCTTGGACCCCTTCCCCGACGCACTGGGCAGCCCCAGCACCCTCCTCGCTTGGCTCTCGCACCCCTGCAGAGGCCCTGCTTCCAGCAACAGGAACCACTCAGCCGTTTGTCTCCAGAAAACAGACCAGTTCCATCCGAGTCGGTGCTGCAGGAAGGCCACGTGGGCCTGAGACACAGCAGCTGAGAACGTGGAACCCGGCCCAGAGCCAGGCCCGCTGCCCTGCCCGTGGCTGGGGACCTGCAGGGATCCCGTCTCGGCTCACGATCCTGTCTTGTTTCTAAGTCTTTCTCCCTCTCTCTCCCCCTCTCCCTCTCTCCCTCCCCAGATAGTGGTCTTGGGGGTGGTGTTCGTTCGGTTTAAATTAGTTTTTCCCAAATCAGTCGTCCTGGGAGTGGCTCATTCCCCATATGTGTCCAGGGGAAGCAGCCACGGCTGACCACGTGGCCCAGGTCAACAAGGACAGAAAAGGTGCCACTCAGTGCCCATCTCCGGGAGCTGCCCGCTTGCCTCGTCACGGAGAGGGAAATGCCTTGGGAGCTCTCGCACCCATACTCAGCCCCTCTGCTGCTGGGTGGGCCCTGTGGGACGTGGCGAGGAGCCACGTGGACCCTCACCTGCTGCTGCCCACGCGGCCTCACACTGAGACAAGTGTCGTGAGCTCGGGACTGCGCAGAGGTGGGACACGTTGGCGCGGACAAGAGCTCCTGGGTGGCTGGACAGGGGCTGCATGCGGGGACCCGGCTCCACGCCGACACCCCTGGGCGTGCCCCTCAGTGCTGCCAGGCGAGATCCCGAACCAAAGGAAATGAAAACACAGTAAAGCCACATCGATCAGACAGCGGCATCCACGTGAAACCCTCCAGATTCCTCGTTTTGAAGAATATTCAGGTAGCAAGAAAAACGTCCTTTGGAAATGAAACGGACGCGCCGGCACCCGGACCAGCGGGTGATTTATGAATCTCTGGAGCGAGGACGAGTGGGGGGCGGCGGGAGCGGCTGGCGGCGGAGCCCGGGGGAGGGGGGGAGAACCAGCCTCCGACAGGCCCCGCGTGCGTCCCCGAGCGCGAGTCAGCGTGCGGAATGCCTCTGGGTGTGGAGGTGTTTTAATTCAACTCTCCATCGCTAGGAAAATCACACTCTGATCTGTTTTCCACGAGGCAGACACGAACAGGCCACGAAGCGTGTCCCCCCCTGCGGGCGCCTTCCCGGAAGCAAGTAATGCTCCTTCCCACGGCAGTAAGCTCCAACCAGTGTGGATTAAGGTCCCTTGGAAAAGAAAGACCTTCAGCTTCAAGACTGTCTGTCCACCGGGGGCCTGCACTGGAGGGCGGGTGGGCTGCACTTGCTTCTGGCTTCCCTCTGCTCAGAGGCAGAGTGTCTCCCTTCTGGCAGGAGCTGTGCCCCCTGGGATTATCCCCACAGAAGCTGTGCCCCCTGGGATTATCCCCACGGAGGCCGTGCTCTCCAGGACGCTCACTCTGGCTCTGTTATGCACAGATGTGTGTGGGCCTCATTTCAGTCTAGCTCATGACTTGAGAGAGAACTGAGAGCTTAATCATTCGTGATTTACCAGAAATGACAGTGAACAAGAACCCAATTTCCAATGCATTTTGAATAAATAACATTTGTGTGAATAAGTCATGTGGCTGGTCTTTGTCTCTGCCTAGGGTGGGAACTTCTGAGTGCCGCGACTTCCCGATGGCAGAGCCCCGGCACAAGCCTCGGTGTCGTGGGCAGGCTGCGGGCCGAGGCCGTGCGCTGGACCGGCCAGTCCAACTCAAGGACAAATGTCTGCGGGTGACATCACGTCACACCCGCGCCCACTTCCCACACTTGGTGCTCAGGACTGCGGGACTCTCTGGTGGTGGCGGCTCTGTGGGAATCGGCGGCCCGGTTCCCACATGCGATCCGGGGATCGGAGGCTGCGTAAGGGTCCCACCACGCTGCAGAATAAGGTGGAGGGGGGGATGCTCTGGGGATTCCCGAGCAGGGCCAGGCGTGGAGCAGGCACAGGGGGCGGGCCGAGGGCTGTGGGCACGGGGGGGGGGGGGCTGCAGGGATGCCACTCAGGGACGTCTGAGCCCACCTTGCCCATGGGACCACTCGCCCAGTCAGCATTCCCACCAGCAGTGAGTGAGAGCCCCTTCCCCTGACATCTGCACCAGCACTGACGGTTCTTGTTATTTTGATGTGTGCCAGTCTTTGTGGTGTGAGGTGACATCTCGTTGTTTTGATTTGCATCTCCCTGAGGATTAGTGATGTAGAGTATATTTTCATGTGCCTTTGACCATTTGAATTTCTTTTTCTGAGCAAGTTTCTGTTCATTTCTTCTCCCCAATTTCTGATGGGATTGGATGTGTTTTCAACCAGTGCCTTATATATCTTTGATGTTATTCCCTTACCAGCTGGGTGTTGGGTGAATAGTTTCCCCATTCCTTGGGCTGTCTTTGTGTCTTGGTCACCGTTTCCTTTGAGATGCAGAAGCTCACAGTTCCACGTGGTCCCATTCGTTTATCTCTTCCGCTTGCTGGGTCAGTGCTGTTTCATTCTTGAAGATCCTTTGGTCTCCATGTCAGTTCACGGCAACACTAGTCACAGTCACCAGAATCTGGAGACAACCCTCGTGCCCAAGAACAGACGACTGGATAAAGCCACTATGGTACATCTACGCAATGGAATGTCACAAGCCACAAGGAAACATGAAGTCATGGAATTTGCAGAGATGGAGAGTATCGTGCTGAGTGAAATGCGTCAGGAGGAGGCAGATACAGAATGACGGCACTCATTTATGAAATCTAGAAAACACAGCATGGGATTAGTACCCAAGGACAGTAGACATGAGGGCCTGGAGAATTAGTCCACGGTAGGAAGCTTGACACAAGTGGGGGGCGGTGGGGAGGGGAGCGCAGCTGTTGTAGAGAAGGGACCACCGTGACTGTGATAGTTGGAAGTGATCACTCCGGACAGGAACTGAATGCTGAGAGGAGGCAAAGGGACACCCTGACCTCTCGGTACCTGTAGTGCAAACCATAATGCCTAAAAGGAGAGAGAGAGAGAGAGAGAGAGAGAGAGAGAGAGAGAGAGAGAGAGAGAGAGAGAGAGAGAGAGAGAGAGAGAGAGAGAGAAAAGAATAGAGGGAAAAAGGGAGGAGAGAGGGAGGGAGGGAGGGGGAAGAAGGGAAGGAGAGAGCTGTGCCCGCAGCCTGGGCGGGTGTTGTGTCTGGAGGGAATCTGGGGGCAGTCCTGGTGGGAAACTACAGGATGTGGGCGGGGGTTGCAACATTGTATGGCGAGCCCTGATCATGAACAGCTTTGTAACTATGTATCTCACAGCCACTCAGTAAACAACAGTAGAGAAACAATCGAGCCTGGAGAAATACAGTGGCACTGCCGAGCTGGTGCCGGGGTTGCCTCCCGCCACCAACTGCCAAACTGGCTTCGTCCCCTGCACAGCCCGGACTCCCCGAGCACTTGACTCCTGAGCACAGAGCGGGTACAGCCCGAATACCACAAGCAAAGTCCAAATAAGCGAGAGCCTGGGCAGTCCTGGAGCGGAGCCAGAGTGGCCAGAACTGATTCCCCGACCCCTTGCTTCCGGGGGGCCGGAGACGCCGCGAGCAGCCCCAGGCCCCCGCCACACACGGCCCAGGAGTTCTGGCCCCGCCGCAAACTGGGCTGGCAGTGTGGGGCCTTCTCTC